CAGGCAGTGAGGAATGGTAGCTGAGGAATACAATCCCATGGGTATTGGTGGAGATGGCTAGGTAGACCAGGGCAAGATCAGGACAAAGTAGATGGGTAGTCAAAGGTTTTGCTTGACTGCTTTAATACTAAAATGTCAAGACTGGGTGAACAGGTGTCATTATTCCTCACCCATTCTCTTCAGACCTAAGCCTGTTCTTATAGCCTGCTGATCAAAGAAGAGGCTGGAGTCTTTTGCTTATTTTTGTCAGTACTTGGGCTTGAACTCAGGGTCTCACGCTTGCTAGGCAGGCACTCTACCACTTAAGGCACTTCACCAGCCTGAGGCTGGAGTCTTGAGGAAGGGTAGTGTGATGCCATACAAGGGCTTCAAAGGGTCTATAGCCATTTACCAGAATATCTATACTGCAAGGAAAGGGAAACAAGACTTTTTTGTTGCTGTTTAGGATTAGATATAGGACTTTGCTTTTTAGCATAAGGTGGGGGTTGGTAATTTTTGTTTTTCCTGTAAAAGGTCAGATAGTTTTAGATTTTGTAGACTATAGGGTCTCTGTTACAACTAATCAACCCTGCAATTCAGCCACAGGGAGGAAATGCATAGTGATTGTGTTTATAAAACTTTATACACTTCGAGTAAAAAGTTAATGGGATCTCCATCTCAACAAACAAGCTGGGAATGACGGTATACTCCTCTCAGCCCAGCTACACTGGAGGGGCATAGATGGGAGGATTAGTCTGAGGCTGCCCCCAGGCAAAAAGTACAGGACTCTAGCTAAACAATAACTAAAGCAAACTTGACTTGGCATGGTCAAATGGCAGAGTACCTGCCTAGCAAGCTCAAAGCTCTGAGTTCAAACCTCAGTACTGGGTGGGGGAAAAAGAAAAAAAAATGCATAGTTCCAATTGTGGGGTTCACGGCTTTGTATTTAGCAAGTTAAACTACACATCAAGTTAAGGTGTTCAAAAATCTCGATATTGTACCTTTTTTGAGGGGTCTGCCTTACTTATAATTGAATGAGTTCAGTTCTCTAACCTCCTCCAAGGACGGTCAAGAAATTGTCCAATTTTGCTTTCTGTAGTTTGAAGCTATGTTACTAGGTGCATATAAGTTTAGTATCTTTATTCTTCCTAGTTAATCCAAACTTGTATCATCTTAATATTATCTACCTTAATGTCTAGCAGTAGTTTTTACCTTGAGCTATACTGGTTTGAGATCAATAAAGCCACATCAGCTTTCTTTTGGTGTTTTATTTACTTGCATCTACTTTTCATTTTTTAGTTTCAATCTTTCTGTGTCTTTGTATTTTACTTGGTTCTTTATCAGTAATACAGAGCACAAATGAGAAGTCTCAGCTTCTTGGAAGTGAATGGAAGAATACTTACTGAAAAGATGGAGTCAGGTTGTCAGTAGCCTCATTCTGACAACATTTATTTGACATACAGGGCATTGAACAGAAAACAGCTGCCACTGAAGGCAGTTTTATCAACTCTGTGACTTCGTAAGCTTACACAGCATCGTTTCCTCACTGGAATTGTATCAGTTGCTTACCCTGATTCCTTAACAACAGCTGATTTGGCTTTCAATAATTAGTAGCTATGCTTGTGAGTGGCCTACAGCAGTAAGGCATAACCAGGGGTTTCCTGACTTTTCTAGAAAACTTTACTCACCCTCCTTTCTTCTCCTTATTCTGTGAGGTTGGCTCACCTGGTGCATCACTTTTGCTGAACTCCAGGTGGCTGGAATCCCAAGCATTAACATGCTTCTGACATAACTGGCTGAAAGATGCCACACAGGAAATGGCAGAGCTGAACTGCCAGGGAGGAGGCCTTTCCTCCTCTAGGCCTTGCCACTCACCAGCTCTTCAGACCTTAACAAGGGCTTGTAGTTTCCTTCAGCCTCAATTTCTTTACAGAAAAACTGAAAGGATTCTTTCTCAAGAGTATGTGTGTTAAAGGAAATCATGAAAATGTCTAGCATATAACAGGCCTTCAAGAAGATGCTCCTCAGTCTTGTCCCCACCTGCTGTAAGCAACCCGCTGCAAGCATGTCTCTTTGAAAAGAAACAGGCATGTTAGTTCTCTGTTCATGCTTTCTTCTAGTGCTTTCTGGGATTTCAAGCAGGCTTTTATTTCAAAGAAATGGGGAGAAGCAAGACTCACTGAGGTCTAGTTCCCAAACTGAAGGATCTCAGGGTACATTTCATTCCATTTTCAGAAGTACAAAGTCATCATGACTTAAGAAAAGTTCCTTCTCTCAGCACAGTTTCTTCCCTAACCTTGCACTGCTCCTGGAGTGCAGTCAACCAAGATGCAAGGCTTACAGTACAAGCTGAAGGATGGGAGTGACCGTATTTAAGTCTCCATCACGTACTTACTAGTCATGAAGTTGGAGGAGCTTCAGTTTGGAGGCAGTAACTTCCTTGAGATTGTGAGACTTAAAGGACACAATGTATACACTAATACATTGTACCAATACAAAGGGCACACAGCTCAGCCTCCAGTAAACACCTGGTAATCTACTGTTACATGTGTGTGCATGCCCACACATGAATCACAAACCCCTTGGTGATGCTGAGCCCAGGGCTTACTGCTCAACAGCAACCAACCAGAGAACACAGGCACTGTGCAGTAAGAACACGTATTTGTCTCCATACCATCACCCTGTGCTCTACTCTTGGTTCACAGAATGTGTATACCAAGTTAACAACAAATGCCCAATGCTTGGGCTAGTGTGTTTTTTGTTCTAAGACCTTGTTATGGGATCTGTCTTCTCAGGCATGTCTGGGATCCACAAACAAACTGTTCTGCAAGCTTTTTAATTTTATTAATTTTAATGAAGCATTAAAGAAAGCTAGACTTACTGGTGGCTGTTTTTAAGAAACCCTGTTAGTTACTGGGTACTGATGGGTCATGTCTATAATCCTAGCTTCTTGGGAGGCTGAGACTAGAAGGATTGCAGCTCGAGGCCAGTCTGTGCAAACAGTTTGTGAAACCCCCATCTCTAAAATAACCACAGCAAAATGGTCTGGAGGTGTGGCTCAAGTGGTAGAGTGCCTGCTTTGCAAGTGTGAAGCTCTGAGTTCAAACCCCAGTCCCACCAAAAAAAAAAGGACCTGTGCAGATATAATACCTAAAGTTCCAGTTACGGAGCCTGGTGGACACCATCAAACAAAGTATAGAGTCTAAGTTTTACTCTGGCCTGCAATACAATCCCCACAGCACAGAATGCACACTTCACTTTCAACAACACACACTTTTGCAGATAAGAAAAGTGACCCACACTTTCGTTTTCTTTATTTTTCATTGATACCGTATGAATACAAAGTTTCTAGAAAGCTACAAAATGTCTACCACTTTATCAAGAAGGCATCAAAATGTGTCACTTTGCAAAGACATGAAAACACCTGCAGGAACTGACACAAAAATAGCATTTTTAGAGTGATGAAATAATTGCACTTAACTGTCATGGATATTAAAGTTATCACACATATGTACCGCGAAAGCTAGAATACATTTTTTTTACAAAGCACTTTATAAAAAAATTCTCTGCACACAAACCCTATAGTTTTCATATAACTATCATACTAAAGATAAATTCACTTTAAAGCCAACACTTAGAACATTTTTAAACAAAAAGGTACCAGTACCTAAACACAAACGTTAACGAATACAAGAATACTGTACTGCCAAGAGGTTTAACCAAATGCCTTTTGAAAGTTTCTGCAAACAGGTTAAGGAAATGTGTGTGAATTTGCCCACCCCACTCCCACTTCTCCAATCTTCTCAACAGGAACCTAATTACCCAAAGGTAAGTTCCGGCCCAGTCCCAGCAGCAGTACAATATCAAAGGAACCACTGACCAGAAGAAACGCTTACGCCACAAGCCCATTCTATACACAGCACACGAAGACATAGACTGCGAGAACCCATTAAGTCATTTAGAATGTGAACAAACACACGTGGCAAAAACCAATTTACATAAACTTTGAGCATATTAAGGAAGTAAAGGCTATTCAGGTTTTTTAAATGTTACAAAATTTTTTTTGTCATTTTTTAGGCACGTATTGTTTTTGTTTTGACATTTTTTCCTTGTCCGCAGTCACAAGCACATTGAAAAAGGCCTACAGAAGTCAATCTTTCAAGGAGGTAACAGGGAGATGTACAAAAAGAAGTGCAGTTAATACCGAATTTACACAGTGAAACTAATCACATAAAATGATTACTGCCAAAAAAAAAGAAAGAGAGAGAAAACTCAGGGACTGATTTCCAACTGATTGACACCTGTATTCCGCCTGCCTCTTTTAGAGAGCAGAGCAGGGCCACATCATCTCCAAAGGCTGGCAAGCCAGCCCGAGCAAGGTGGAGGCTAATGGAATCTGACCCCATGTGATGGAGTGGGGGATCATAAATGCTGTTTCCAATAGTAAAATGATGTAGTGTGTCAAGAGGTGACTCAAATGCAATGCACACAGTAAACCAAGTTAGGGCTTAGGAAGTATGACAATAAATACAAATATTTCATCTTATTTAATGGTACAGGACTTCAGCGAAACTACCCTTTGCAACACAGTAAAATGAAACACAAAACCTTCATTCTTAACGAAAGAAGCAAAGAATTTATGAGAGAAAACTATTGTCAAACAAAAGACAGTAACAGTTGAAAAGAGAATCAGGAACACATGTATTTAATTCCTTCCAACATGTGGTATAGTCCTGACAAGATGAGTCAAGACTTCCAGCAGCTAACTCTAACTTGTGTTGAGTAATTTTCCTTTTCATTTGATAGTGTTATTTTTTTAAACAGAACTTTTATAAACACTCATAACTTAGAGTGGATAATCACTCCTGAAATTTCAGAGCCCAGAGAGGCTAGTCCTAAAGACACCAGGTAGACAGACAGAACATAGGTGGTAAGAGGTTAGAGGTTAACTTTCAAAATTGTCTGATATTATTTTTACAATCAACAAAGAAAAACCATTGTCCTGGCTTCTTTTTGGCTGGTGTTTTTTTTTTTTTTTTTTTTTTTTGCCTCCTTCTCCTTTCTATTCCTGTTCCTTACCTCTATCAGTTTTCTCAATTTATACAAGGTTTTGATAGAAGCTGACACATATGATAACAAGTTGGCCCTCTGAGGGCTGGAACACTCTTTGAAAATGCCAAATTACGAATCATGCTCTTTGGAAGTTTCTCATGGCACATTCAAACACAATACTCAGAGCCGAAGTTTCTGCCCTAAGAAGAACACTTCAATTATAATGACCCTAACACATTTTGCTCTGCACTGTCATCTCAGTTTGAGGCTTCCAACTTTTGAAATGGTATCATCGTGTAAAGCAGATAAGTGCGCACTGTCATTTGAATGGAAAAGAAAGTCTCCAGAGACTGAACACGAACACGAGGAGAAGGCGAAAGCTGTAGTCTCTGTCCACCGGCCGAGATTCCGCTGTCTGTGTGGAAATTCCTTCACACGATGCAGGGCTGGGTGACAAGCTGACATGACATGCCGGATCGTTGGCACACACAAACACAACAGTTTCCGGGGTCCCTCCTGCTGTAGTGTGCTATGGGTGAGTGGAGGGTGGGGACCCCACTGACAGACAGACTCGCTGCAGCTGCAGGCAGGGACCACGTGGTGCTCTTGTGAACAGAGGCCTGTGGTTGGTAACTCAGCCCGGTAAACCAAAGGCATTACGGTGATCTCAAAATATTTTTGGTCTCTCTACAAATTGTCGTTATTATGGCAGCACTTTTCTAAGCTGGAATCTCAAACCAAAGGCACTTTCATGCTAGAGTGCAGAAGTTTCACAAATAACTAAGTATTTGGTCATGAATTTAAAAGGCAACGAGAAAAGTACAATTTGCTTTTCAGAGTAAACTACAAAATTGCAACCTTTTGTTTTGGTATATACATTTGAAAGTGTGGTCAAAGAACTGACTTGGGTTCAGTTTCCGATTTTAGACCAAGTCGTCAGTTTCCTATAGAGCTGGATAAAAATGGGCTTTAAAAAACAAAAGTGAGAACAACTTTTGCTTGTCTTGTTGCAGAGATTGGGCCAATTAGTGAATGGAACTGAAAACAGGTGTGAGAAAAGGCTGGCGGCATGACTAAGGTATCACTAAGGCACTGCTTACTGGAACGCTTTGGCAGCTCTGGATTGAAAACTCCCTAAAAAAAGTAACAGCAGTAAGAGAATCGCTTCCAGCTTACAAAAGGGCTCACAGTTCTGAGGCAGCCGTCTGCACTGCACACCCCACATGCAACATCTCCAAGATTTAAGGCTTTTCAGAAATGACATGTGCAGGGCTTTGCCACAGAAACATGAACATAAAGAAATCAGCAATGCAGATGTCCTCCTAATGTCAAAGATGTGAACACCAACAAACAGAATTAGTTCTACCCTTCCTTAGGACAGGTGTAGTGTACCAGAGCATATACAAAATCAGACAAATTATATGTACCTGGTTTGTAAAACTGTCATCTCACATGATTAAATAATTTACAGTTGTACAAAAACAATGGCTAAAGCCACCACAGTATTGAAACCTCATGAAGACTTGGGTCTAAGTCTTTGGGGACTTCTAACACCAAGTGCTTGGAACAGGGGCTGGTTTTTGGCTGGTCCAAGGGCAGGACTTGGCTGCTGGGATGCTTAGCAAGTAGAAATTTGATTCGGACCCCGTGGCAGGTGAATTGTTCTCAGAAGGGAAAAGGCTCATCAGCTTTCCTATGTGCTTGTGGAGGCTGCAGACAGCCACAGCCCAGCACTCTGCTGGGTGCATCGTGGTGATGCTGGGGTTCTGAACAGGGAACTCTCAGTCTCCCCCTCTCTTCTGAACTGACCCTGGCCATGCATTCTAGGGATCATTTAAGCATAGAGCACCAAAGAAGAATGGCCTCCATCAGAAGAATGGCCAAAGATTAGAGTTAGGAGCCCTAGAAAAGTCCTCTTATTCTGTCACTAGCCAGCTGGGTAACTTTGGGCAAGTCATCTCATCCCCCTCTGGCCTCAACTTTCTTGTTCACAAAATGAAGGGCAGTGGATTGTGTTCTCTTTTAGCTTAAGAACAAAAATCTTTAGAAGTCCTCTTCCGGAAGAGATCCCTCCCCACACAACCCTAAAGATGAAAAGGAAATGCTCCAGAGGATTCAGTAAGTTCTACAAAAGGTATTGAAGGAAATGCAGAAAGTAGAAGCAGCCCAGAGGAAATAAACTAAAATGACTAAAGGTTTGATAAGGGACCATGTGTTTATGAGAAGTAATGAAAAGTACTGAGATTTTTCTTTTTTGAAAACTTGGCAAACTAGGAGCTGAAGGTCAAATCAGAAATGTTCTTTAAACGGGTGTCACTTGATTCCAGGGATGATGGTGACTAGCTTTCCACCTTCCTCAGCCATAAGAAAGAATACTTGTAGCAAGAGAGACTGTTGTGAAAGAGAAGTTTCAAAGCAGGAGAAACAAAGATAGAATGTCATCTGATGAATATTCTTCCTCTCTGCCTCCTGATATCCTGAAAAAAGTCTCCCAGGAGAGAAGGTTTTAGAAAGAGAACTGTTACAACGTGCTATTGTGACCTGTAAGGTGCAGAGCACTCCTTCTAGACTGGGGGTGATTTTGCACCCCCTGGGACATTTAGTAATGTAATGAGCTGTGATAACTGGGGAAGGGAGTACACCACAGCACAGCCCCACACAACAAAGAATGTCACTAGTGCTGAGGTTGAGAAAGCCTGATCTCAGGAAGCCTGCATACTGAGGATCGTGGGACATGTTTTGAGAAGTCCTGAATTTACTTTGGGTCTCGTCCTTCAATGGTACAGAACAGAGCCCTGTTCTTCAGCACCTTCCTGGGGAAAGCTGCCTTACAAACTCCGCAGAGAAAGCACAAGATGGTAGTGACAAATGTGGTACAGGGGACTAGCAGAAGACAGCACAGAAAAGAGTCTAGTGAGGATGGAGCTTGGCAAAAACTTCCTTATGGTTTAGGAAGGTCTGAAGACAGAACAAAGAACTGTGTAGGAAGAAAGAGCAAAGACAGACTCAGCTCCCACCCTAAGGGTCCAATTTGGGAGATGAAGAGAAGCAAGCCCAAGAGTTTGGGATAACTGGATCAGAGATTAAGACAGGGGAAAGCTTTAAAAGTTAAAAAAAAATCTTAAAAATGTTTTAGGATCAAAAAGTAATCCTCGAGGTCATTCATATAAACCCTCTCTCCTCACCAAACCCACCTGTAAAGGTATTCAGAGGAAGAGGAAGGTCCAGCCTGACCTGGTGAGATTAGCAGGCCAGGAGTACTTTCTGCAGCCAACTGTTACCCTCTAGCCTGTCTTCTTGGATCCCCATACCTCTCCTGGTAGCAGAGAAAAGCCCTATTCTTGGGTGGGAACATGAACCAGACAGCTCTCCCCTCAAGTTCTAAAATGGCCTGGCTTTAGCCATATGAAATCATTTGTACCTTTTTGTACAGTCCTGATATTGGGAGAGTGGGGGTTCCCTTGAGGAAATAGGAGCCAAAGAAACATCCCCTAAGAGGGGTGTTCAACAAGCTATTGTAAACTTAATGACTGTTAAAGATGCTTAAATGCTTGGTCTGAAGACCAGATGGAAGGGCAGAAAACCAGGGCAGTCCTTCAATGGTCAGTTTGGAATCAGGGAACAAAGATAGTCTAATTTTGGAAGGAAGAAGAGCACTGTCATACTGGCCTATGTAAGGCAGATATGTTCCAAATGGGAAAGTTTTACACATTCTCTGGTCTTCCCAGAGACAATGGATGTACCTGGGAGAGGTCAGGCTTGGTCCAGAGTTGTTCTTTTTGACATAAATCAGCCAAACTCCACACTCATGACCACAGGATGCTGAATAATGTACAAGAGGATCAGAGCAGATGGCAGGGCAAGGAAGGGATGTGTAAGTTACTTGGTGTGGTAGAACTTAGCTTTTTACTTTCTAGCCTTGGTGAAAAATCTTGCCATGTTTTACAACTTACAAATCTTACTTTGTGTTCTACTGTATTCACATATTTCTAACAGGTACAAAAACCTCATTTTCTTCTGGGAAAATGAGCTCCTCCTCTCTCCCCAGTGAAGCACTTATGGAAATTACCTAAGACATGTGGTCATATCAAACCAACTAAGCCCAGGCAACACTTTGGAATATTTGGATTGTAAAGTTGAATTTCTCCTGGAAAGAGAACCTCCTGAATGAGCCTGTTTGAAAAAGCCAGAAGATGACCTAAGTCAAACAACGGCGTTATAACTTACTGAGAGATGCCAAGGAAATGGATACCCTTAGACAGAATGTATCTACATCTACAGACACAGACTGAGATACACATACATCAGCACCTAGAAAACTGAGAAACACTAAACAGACGTTCAATGTGAGTTGAAAAGCTGTGTACATGTACATACGTAGTCCACATATACAAAGCTATAGTCACAGCAGGTTCCTATGTGTACTGGGTAACCGGAAATAAAGAATTTATCCACAAGTCGGTGAGGATGCTCACGGTGGTCTGCAGAGCAGGGATCTAAACTGATGAGCCTTTTACTTGTTTGGTCAATGAAATTTTTCTCCCAGCCACAGGATTCTCTATATTTTGCAGCTCACAGTGCAGTCAGTATTCATGCCAATTTTAAACTTTTGCTATTAAATTTTAGTGGTTCAAATATTTACTCATCTTCATAAAAAATTTGGTTGTCCATATAAAATATAACTGCACACACAAGACTATAAACATTGTAAGCTTAGATTTTTCAGTATTTATCTACTTATTGCAAAAGAGCCATCTTTTCTTTTTCATTAAATAATCAATCATCACATTAGTACAATACAATTTTACATTTTTAAATATACTATATATGTTAAGGATAGGGGTAAAGTTTTCTTCCTTTGTAATACCTGTTCAAGAGTTTAATGGATTAGGAGGTTAGTTTTTAACCTTGAGGAAAAAAGTACAAATTTGTCTCATTAGAATATTTCTACCAAGCATTTCTTAAGGCTATAGTTTAACATTTGGTTTCAAAAAGAAAGAAAGGTTTCATTTAAAAAATAATTTAGTGAATTACATTCTTTCATAACTTCCACCCTAATTAGTTACAAAGATAAGTCTAAAGATTCTTAGTTTTGTGTACTAATTTACATTTATATTTAAAGATTAATTTTACTTGTATCTTAAAACAAGAATTTTATGTTGGAAAAAAGAGAACTAAGTACATTTGTATAAAGGCAGTAAATGTTCCAAGGCCAATGCTCTGTCTCAGGATTTTCTACCACAATAAGAAACAAGTCTCTGCAGAGAGAGACTTGGTGTTTAAGGTTCACCTTTCCCGAGGAACTGTGGGCTGCAGATCTGAAGAACACATAGAAACGACTTGATTTCTCTTTTTTACAACTCTATCAGAACTTCACAGCTACAATGATAGTTATGAACACATGGAAAAAATGACTTCACTCAAACAGGATTTAGAAAAGTTGGGGTGACCTCAGGGACAGGGCACCACCCTGTATGGTGAGGTTTACAGTCAGTCGTTCAAGAATGAGAGAGAGTGTGTGTGTGTGCACATATGTGTGTGTATATACAGATATCTATATATATAAATAACCATGTTCAGTCCTTTACAAGCCTGTAAATATGATGTTGTGCTCCATGTTCACTATTTGACACTTCAAATACACAGGCCATGCAGAGGAGAGTTTCTTGTGTATCCCTGTTTGTTACCACCTGTTTAAAAAAAAAAAAAAAAAGGATATACATATAATCATGCCACAAAAATGAACACACATTCCACCTGTGCCTCAAGAAGCAGTCTTAAATCTGATCACCGGATTAGAGATCAGTTCAGCCTCACTCTGCAATCTCCCACGCACGTCAGAAGACCACAGGTCTCATGTGAATCCCATCTAAGCAGGTTCCCTGTGCAAGAAAGACATTATACATAGAGGTTTGCCCATCTTTGGAGCCTAAGAGACCACAAGAATTGGTGTGGTTTGTCTGTTTGGGCTGAGTTCTTTACAACCAAGGGAATTTTCTGTAATTCTGTCCTATTGGATCAATAGGACAATCAAGTGTCCTAGGATTGTGTCCTATCTTATTATTTTTAATTGACAAATAATAACTGTGTATATTTATGGGGTACAATGTGATGTTATGGTATACTGGAGAACGGTTAAACCAAATCACTATCTCATATACTTATCCTTTCTTTGTGGTGAGAGTATTTAAAATCTATTCTTGTTCCTATCTTATTGCTAAACTTGTGCCTCAGCCTTCATTCAGATCTTGGGCTCTCTGACCAAAGTGCCCAGAGTCTCCTCCCCATTGCATCCTGCTGTTTCCCTCTTCACTGTGGTCTCAGTTCAGAATGAGCTTTCTGAAGGTAAATCTGCTCAAACTTACTGACTCAAAATGCTTCATTCAATGACTCTGAGACTTTTGTGTTTGGAAACATTTTGAACTTGAGAGGCTAGTCTAGCTTGTCCTAAACCTAATTTCCCTTGTGCCTCAGGCTGTTTCAAGATTTCCTTGCCCTTATGGCATCCAAACTTATGGTCCTTGACTAAAGAATAAAGCCTCATTGTACTTCTGATCTTCCCTACAGAACCTGTGTGATTCATGTAGATTTGTGTGGGTTTTTTTTTCTTTTAAATATCAATTTTCATCCATTGGCCTATCAATTCTAGAAGAACAGGGATCATGTTTCCTAGAAGCTAACATAGTGCATGGCACACATAGCCATTTGATAAGTGCTGAGTGAATGAAAATTCACTTACTAGTCAACATACACTGAGTACTTACTGTGCATGTACTTGGGTATTAAATGCTTTTACACGGTTTGTCTCACAGGACATTATGGCTCTCAGAATGGAAGCTACAATTACTCCCTCGACAGAGAGGACTGAGGGCCAATTTTCTCTAGATCACTGCAGGTGCCTATTCACCTAGCAGGCCTCTCAAGTGTGACTCAGGAGGCTTTCCCCAACCTCCCAAACTAGGTCAAATTCTCCTATTATACGCTTGCATAGCACCATGTCCCTCGGCCAGACACTGGCCACAGATTTAGTTTCCATTCTTTAGTGAGGACATGATGAATGCCTGTCTCCTTCATCAGACCCCAGGATGGCTGTCCTACCTGTCCAATTCACCATAGCATCTCCAGCTTCTGCCACCTAATTATACACCCATAGAGTGGACCTTTTTTTGGTAAATCTGAAAAACATCTGCTTATCCATCAAGGCAATTTAAACATCTACAGGTTCAGTTCAATTCCTGAATCATCTTGATACAATCAGATAACCTAGCCCACCAGTCAGTGTGGTTGGAATTGGCCTGGAGGAACGAGCTTTACATCTGAAGTATCAGTTAAGTATCTCCAACTCATACAGCAGCTGCCGTAGTGGCTCAGTTTCTGCACCCTGGGCCCTGAGAAAGAGCGCAAAGTACAATTTCTCCTGTTCAGCAATTAGATAATTTTGTTTTTATAATGCAGAGTCCTGGCTTAATTTCAGTTTTCCTAAGGCCCTAATATTATTTATAGCAGATATTTATTGACAGCTATTAATTCCTCAGATCAAAGGAATTATTTAATTGCTTATGACACATTTTGAAGTTAATCTAATCTGATGAATTCTCAGGACATCTATGCTTGATGAAATCACATGCCCCAAAGAAGCATTACTGACAGGTTCCTGGGCTTTGTGGGAAACAGATGTTCTGACATCTCCTGGCCATATTTATCCCAACTGAGCTCACTGAGGTAAAGTGTCAGTGACTGGGGATGTCATCTTCCTTAATGTGCAGAACAGATCCAGGACTGGCTTTTAAGCAACAGCTAAGACTCCCACCAAGAGAGGTGGGCAGCCATCCACTCAGTTCTGAGGCTGTTTGAAGTCCACAGCAGGATGCACACTCTTGGCCAGTTCACCTGAGTGCTAAAGCACTGTGTCTGTTCGTAAACAGCAGTGGAGAACACTTGTAAAACAGGTACCTGCTCCCTGCCGACCCATATCATGAACTGCTCAGCTTTCGCCAAAAGACCATTAGAGAAAAGGATACTAATGAACAGTTATTAAAGAACAGGTATTCCACATTTTCCCCAGACTGCCAGTTTCTGGAGGCACCTGGGCACATTTAAGAATCTGGTGGTTCTCTGTAGAATTAAGTGAAACTGATAGACAAAATTCTGTTTGCTGGCTGCGTGCCAATCATGTATTTCCTAGCTCTGAGACTCCTGCAGGTCATTTACCAGACCCCTATAGCAGTGACTCTCAGTCCTGGCTGTTCGATACAACTTTCTGGAGAACTTTAAAAAGGAATAAACATGATGCTGGACTCCATCCCTCAGGTTTTTAAAAAGCTGGCTGGATGAATCTAATATGCAAAAGACTATAATTTTTTAAAGTTTATTTATTTATTTTTTTACAGTGGTATATAGAAGCTAGCTTCTACTGGCTTATGAAAGTTACTGTTAAATATTAAGGAATTTTGTGAGCTGGACAACCACTGGTAGATTCATATTGCCCGTGAAAGGCATACTTACTCCATGGAGATAGGCAAAATCAGGCTTTGGAATGAGAATGGGGTGGGGAAGTTGGGAAAAAAAATTTAAAAATAATTTTAAACCAGTATAAGCTGGACATGGTGGTACAAGCCTATAATCCTAGCTACTTGGGAGTTCAAGGCCAGCCCAGGCAGAGATAGAAGTGAGACCTTAGCTCAAAAACAAAATAAAAACAAAAGGACTGAGGGCATAGCTCAAGTGGTAGAGTGCTTGCCTAGCATGTGCAAGTCCCTGGGTTCAATCCCCAGCACTTCCAACAACAGCAACAACAAAGCAAGAACAGTACATCATGGTTTGAGAACCACTGTCCTAATGGAACCAGAATGCCAAATAAAGAATTTCTGCTGTAAAGAATTCTAGTTTTTAATCCTAGTAACAAAGAACAATAAAGTAGACTTTCAGAGGACTGAGTGTTTGACCACAACGTATCCTTGTTGCCCCTTTTAGCAAAATTGTTTCCACCGAGTTTTGTTTTGGTATTTTCCCTTAATCAAGGAATGTAATTTTTTTAAATGAGCCTTCTGAAATTCATTACTGCAAATTTTATAAGTATACTGTGGACAACACTGCTCCTAATAACCTTTCCTAGTCTCTGTATGAACACCCCAGGAGAAACCTGTAAATTAACTATCAGAGGAACACACATATGAAGCTTTAGGGGCACTGGTAAGTTTTCCTGTCATGGACCTGGAACACTGTTGACTTTTCTTTCCCTTTGCCTGCTCATTAAGTATGAAGACATTTTTCAGTCTATGAAGAACATTTTCTTCTCCTTCCTGGTCATTGCATCCTATTCTAATTTGTATTTCTCTTGGACCTGACAGCATATATTTTCCTATTTTAGCTTGCTACTTCTTTTATAAGGCCTTGAAAATACTGCATGAAGTGAGTCCAGTATGTCTGAAGTACAGAACTAATGACTCAGCTTTTGCCTCTTTTCTGATTTGCATACCAGATAGCTGGCAAGACTCAATATTGGGATTAAACATGTCTTGAGTCCTATCCTCAGAGATGCTGACTTAATTGGCCTAGGATACAACCTGGGCATCAGGATTTTTAAAAGCTCTCCAGGTCTTTCCAATGTATAGCCAGAGTTGAGGACCTAAGGCCACCACTTTTGACTACCCACCTGAATTCCATTTCTGCTAAGCTTAGAAACCCAAGCCCCTTCTCTGCTACTGACTCAACCTCAAATCTGGCCCAAGTTTGTTTGATAGATGCTGTGGATTCAACTGCTAACTGATCACCTAGTACCCTATCCAACATCCTTGGCCAAGGCTTCAGTGCTTCCCTGATCTACCTTCCTCCCTGTCCACAACAAGCCTCATGGCAGGCTCAGGCAAAACAGGAAAGAGACAAAACCATTACCAATAAAATTGTGAAGTTTTCCAAAACACTGTTCATCATATATTTCTCTGGTAAGTGTTTGAGCTTGTGGATGAAGTTGATCATATATTCACACATTGGGGAACGGTTTATTCGATATACAAATCGGCCATTCTCAAACCTTGCATACTCCGTCTGTGAGGAAAAAGAGGATTTGAGCATTTTTATACTTCGAAATACAAGACACAGGTATTACTGCTTTTATAAGCAGTTGCTTTTGTAACAAGAATTGTTTGTTATATGCTATGCTGTTTATGAAGCTTACTTAATTAAAAACAAATCTTATCTCTAAACTTACTGCCACATAGAACCCATTCTTTTTCTGGAAGTTAAAAAAAATTGCTGGAAAGATGACAACTTTAAAGAATTCAAAAGATCCTTTCAGAAAAGGTTAAAAAAACAGGACAGCCTGTTCAGTGATTCTCTACCTCCTGGATGAGATCTGTGAGATGAAACCCCCAAAAGTTGTAATTCTTCAATGATCCCAGAGAAATCTCTCTACTGTGATGGGGCTACACAGGCTACTAAATGATACAGACAATTCTGCACCTGAGGAGAAACTGGTTACCTCTCAATGATCAGGAGCCCCTAGATGGGTGGATGAGAGGGAGGGAGGGAGGAAGGAAGGAAGGGAGGGAGGGAGGGAGGGAGGGAGGGAGGGAGGGAGGGAGGGAGGAAGGAAGGAAGGAAGGAAGGAAGGAAGGAAGGAAGGAAGGAAGGAAGGAAGTGCTGATGGACTGAAGATCCCATGGAAGTGCTCAGAAATAAGAAACACTTAAATCACCTTGGATGAAAAAGGAGTTAAAAAGGAAATGACAAGCTATCTAAAGAGCACTGAAAAGGAAAAATACTTTACATCTAAAACTATGGGGTATAATAAATCTCTACTTGAAGGAAACTTAACGAAGCGGTCTCATCTGTCTTCATCATTAAAGATGAAAAATTGCAGAACTAAATACACATCTTAAAAAAAAATTTAAGAACCCCACAAAAACTCAAACCACAAAGAAACCAAAGGAAACCAGGAATAGGAAACTAATAAAGATAAAAGCCCAAATCAATGAACTAGAAATTTAAAATGCAGACAGAATAAATTTAAAAACTGATTCTTTAAAAAGCCAAAATAAAATAAGCCCTTTCCACACTTAAAAAGAAGAAAGAAAAGAGGCAAAGCCACAACTGCAGTAGAGATTAGAGGATATACAAGGGCTGGGGGTGTAGCTTAATAGTAAAAGCACATCCTTAATGACATCCACAAGGCTTAGGGTTTGATCCCTGGCAACAGCCCCCCTCCCCGACACACATACGTATCATAACTCTAAGGGAGAAAAAACAACAACAAAACAAAACAAAACAAAATAACAAAGCAAAAAAACCCTACAGGACAGGAATGCTAAATACAAATTGCTAAAAGTGGGCTAGAAAGAAGTAGTAAATGTCAATAGACCAATGGCTGTGGACATGAGTAGGGTTAAAAGTTATTTAGGTATCTACCACTGGAAAAGCCAGAGAGCACCAAGGACACCAACTTTCAGTTAAGCAGGAGGAACAAGTTCAAGAGATCTATTATGCACCACAGTAACCATCGTTAATAATGATACAGTTATTGTACACTTGAAAATTGCCGTGAGAAGACTTTAAGGGTCTTCACCACAAAAAAAAGAGTATGTGTGGCAATGCATACGCTAATTTGCTTAATTTAGCCATTCCACAATGTATGCATATTACAAAAACATTGTGTTGTACAAGATAAAAGTATACAATTTTTTGTCATAAAAACAGTTTAAAAAAGGTATAAAGAACAAACTGTTTCACAGGTAAGTTTTTTGTACCTTTAAAGAACAGTTACTCCTACTGTTGTTTATGTTATACTATGCCACAAAATCACTAAGTATCCCAATTCTTTTTATAAAATGATGTACATTTGATACTGAAATTTCACAGAATATGAAAAAGAAAAGTGTAGAGTAGTATCACTTAATGAGATGTGAATTTTCTCTATAAAACACCAACAAGCAGAATCCAGCAACATTATCTGAGGGCACTTCTTTTGGGAATGCTGTGGAGGGTGATACACAGGAATCCTACTGATTCAACTTATGTCAATAAACTGGAGAAAAATCATAAGAGTTGCTGAAAAGGCATTTGATAACATAATCAAAATCCTAAGGAAAACATGCAATAAAACCATTTATGAAAACCAACAGCAAATGTTACCTGAACTTGCAAAACATCCACACTATTTCTGCTAACATTGGAACTATACTAGAATACCTATTTCTCATACAACTGCACTGAAGTTATTATCAAATAATATATAAAAAATTTTAAAAACTGGCATAAACATTGGAAAAGAGATAAAATAAGATTTTTTTTGTTGTTACTAAGAAAACAGAATAATTTAGGAAAAAAGTACTTGAGCTAGAAGGATTTGCTAAGATGGCCTTATTAAAGACTGATCTTCCATACAGATGTTCAATATAGACAGATTGTAAAATCCCATAACCTTTTTCTGCTCTAGTGATAAGAATCTAGAAATAAGAAACTGCCACTAATTACATAATACTCAGACATGTATTTAATGGGGGAACAGACTATAAAATCTTATTAAAATACCTAAAATGAGATAGAAATGCAAGTAGGTTCTTGATTAGAAGATTTTAATATTAAATACATCTTTTTTCACAAAATAATATCTGAATCTAATGTAATTATAATTATAGTGCACAAACTTTTTATTCTTCTTTACATTTTTTTAAATGCTCTCATTATTGGGAAATATCAATTTTGGTTACTAGCTTAGAAAACATGAAAAAGAATAGAAATAGACTAGAATGGAAAACAAGATTGAGTTGTTTCATCCACTAGCACAACCTTCTAAAAAGTCACTGTAATTAAATTCACAGGGTATTGGGAAATATTAGAGACAAATAGAGAGTGGGACCGAAAAAAGTCCAAGAACAGCTCCAGTACCTATCTGTTCAACAGGAAAAGGCTGAGTCGCTTATTTGACACAAATACCTATCTACTGGGAAGACAATGTAAGCAACTTACTATTTCACACCAAATGCAGACGATCTAAATAGATTAAAGGCTTTAAAACTCATACTAACTTCTCCATGAAAATTTCTGGGATTTTATTGGCCAAAAGCAACCTTTCTCTGCTCCCAGAGCTTGCACAAAGCTGTCATCTGAGGACACCAGGAAGACAAGTAACCTGTCTGGCTCACCTTTTCTCGTATGCACCTGTGCATGCAGGCAGTCCATCTCTGAAGACCATCCCTGACAGCTTGGCTATTCATTAATACCGTCAAACACCAACCTTCCCCAATTCCAACCACTGACTGACTGGTAACTGTGGTTCCTCCTCCTCAGGGAGTTGGCGCTCACCCAGTGCCAGTTATCCCAGCCCTATCTGATCACACAACCACCTTCATATCCTTTCCTTGGGCTCCCAGACATCACGCTGAACCCATTCTTTACAACTTTTCTTCTGTTTGTCTCCTCTGTCCTCACCTCAAGGCTGGCTACTACTCCCCATATTTAATCCTGTGCTCTTGTTACTCTCTCCAGGCAGCTAGCTCTCCATTCCCACAGTTTTAATTATTCTTAATGCTCAGGATTCCCAACTGATAATTCTAGACTATGCCTGTCTCCCAAACTCTAGTCTTGCATCTACAATCATGCCCTATTTTTTCTTGAACACTTTATTTCCTTATTGCTGGCAGTGGCACACATAAAATGTGAATGTCACCTTTTATTCTCATTGCCACCATTTCAGGAAAACTCATAACCCCTATGCTTAAATTGAAAATCAAGCCAACTCACCTATATCTTCTTCAGCCTTAATATCATTTTCACAAACTGGTCCTGTGCTCAGTGAGGTAGGAGGACCGAAAGCATCCCAAATCCTCATTGCTCTGCTCAAGATCCTGATAGAAATACCCTCCTCTCTTCCCCCAAGCCATCTCCCTCACTCCAAAGCACAAAGTGCCATAGTCAGGCGGGGCTCCTGAACCTGAGAGGTTCTGATATACAATACATAAGAACTGCTCACTGAACACAAACTGCTGGGGGAGGATAGAAAACACTGGAAAGTACAACTTTAAAGGGAATACCAGTTGCAAACATTATTCACACAAAGCAGTTTAACTCAATAAACAAACATGTCTGTTTGAAGGGAGGGAGGCATGAAATACAAAGCTTTAAGTAGATATTTGATTGTAATATAGAATGGTATTTGTTTAAGACAAGTAAAACAAAGGGGCAAAAGAAACATCAAATTCAAGGTGTTTTGGAAGGTTGCAGACCACCTTGACTGTTAGCCACAGGGCCTGGACATGCCTTAGACCTGAGGATGGGGCTCATCTTGATCCAGCTTCCCTCTCATGGTACCAAGGAGGCCTCTTGCCAAGGTGACCAGAACTGGTCAGCCAGTCAGGGCCAACTCCAGAGAGGCTGGCATGAGACTTCCTACTTGCTTTTGGTGCTTCCAAGTCATTTTGCCTTTTAGAATAGAGAAAAGAAGAAAGAGGGAGGAGAAGCAGGAGACACCAAAGAAGTGTAACTCTGTCCCATGGAAGTTTAGGGGAAGGCAGGGGGCTGCCCTTGAATCAAGTTTATGGTCTAAGGACAACTTACCTCTACTTTTTCTACTACTTGCTTCCCAAAGGAGCACACTTTGGTGGAACAGGTGACTGTCATGTTTTCAGAGCTCTCATATTGACTGGTCACACCGTAAAAAGCCCCGGCATCATCTTGAATATTGCAGTTTAAGTCGGCCTGTTGGAAAGGAAACAGGGACGGGTTATTCTCCTGTTGGAGGAGTCAAGAAGAGCAGGGCAAGCTATCTCAGTGGCAGGAAGATAGCTAGGAAAGTGAGGAGATGCCCTGCTAGCATCAAGGTCAATGCCTGACAGCCATTTTCTGAAGAGGGTGCTAAGTTGGGCGGTCTTCCCTTGGAAGGACACACTACATATGTCCATCTGTTTTACTTCCTTGCATTCAGTCTTAGGATTCCATTATTCCCTTCCAACAAAGATCCAGAATTCTCTGAACTGTGCAGAAAGCAAGACATGAATTGATTTTATACTCACTGATCTTTAGAGAGATTTTAAAAACAGGAAACTCTGCAGCTGACATCATAAACAGAAACTTTACTAGAAATTACAGCATCTGGAAAGGTAATGGTTCCTACTAAAGATTGCTTACCAAGATGCTAATTACCACTAATTTAACACATTTTTATTAACTACCTACTATATAAGGCTCATTCTAGACCTAGATAGGACTTGGCTACAACCTAACATGGGAGACAGGTACATAAAATAACTACCATGCAGATAGAGAGTAAGTACACTGGTAAGGGCATTCAGAGCTCAGAAAATGGAAGGTAGTACTTCTAACCAGGTCTTAGTTCAGGGATGGTCAGGACTGGCACAGGCAAGGAAGGGCTGAGGGAAGAGAGGACAGAGCCTGCAGTGCCTCAATGCAGCTCTGGTGCAAGAACTAAGGAGTCCAGGAGAACAAGTTTGGAATGCAACTTGAACCCAGGTCATGGAGGGTTAGATAAGGGGTGAAGACTGTATCCTGTGTGAAATAGGGACCCCTCAAAAATTCTGGTTCCAGGAAGAGCTCACAGCAGTGCTTCAGAGAAAAATGTGTACTAGAGGAGGAGACTGCCACGGTGTTTAGGTCATTGCTATGTTCTGAATGTGTTGGGGAACACAATCCCCAAAGCAACAGTGTTGAGATGTGGGGCCTTTGGGGAGGTGTTTAGGATTCTTGCCTTAATGAATGGATTAATGCCAAAATAGGGCTCTCAGGAGTGAGATGGCTCTCTTACCCTTCAGCATTCCACAATGTAAGGCTGTAGCAAGGCTTCCCCAGCCTCCAGAAGTGTGAGAAATAAATTTCTGTTCTTCATGAATTACTCATTCTGTGGTATCCCATTTTAGTGGTCCAAAACAAAGGCAGTCACTGATTAATATTTCCCTTTCCCCAAGGATCTACTGACTCCCTAATAAATGCCAGGCACTACACTGTGAACTGGGGATAAGAGGAGGCAGAAGCCGAACTAGTGCCTGCTCTCATTGGACTTCTGGTTTAGCAAGGAAGAAATAAAAATGGAGTTAAGTCCCACTGAGAAAGGTACAGAGGGATAGGGAAACAAACGCCTGTGGGGAAGGACTCTCAAGATCCAAGGATGCGCTGATGCAACTACAGCTGGAATCCAAAGAAAGAAGTGGTTAAGGAAAAGGGACAATCTCCAAAAGAGAAGAGGTATTCAGGAGCACACAGCCAGAAAGGACTGAAACAGGGTAAGTCAACAAAGGAGAGAGTATGGAAGGAAAGCAAGGGGGAGAGGAGGATTGGGAATTTATATCATGAGAACACAGGTATGTGGGAGTTCTAAGCCAATAAGATGGGAACAGCAGCAAGGTATCATCAAATGCAAAGAGGCACCAAAAGAGCACTGTTGGGAAGAGAGCAAGTGAATGCAGAAATATATGAAGAGGCTACTGAAGTCATCCAACCACCAAGAAATAGATAAAACGTGGACTACCACAATGGCTCTTGAAGGGTAGGTAAGTTTGATACTCAAATGAGATTTTATACTTTGTGATGTTTGGCAGATTTTGAGCTAATTTTAATACCTTGAGAGGTACTCGTGAAGATCTGAGTCATCTACTGTAATGAAGACCTACATTTGGATTTCCTTTTTAAATGGAATAGTAGGAAAACGTTCATTCCCTTGGGCAAAACTTCATATTTTCTGACTTCAGATAAAGAGAACCATATACTCTCTATTCCCCCTTTCACTTTATATGCCAAGAAATTCCAAGCTTCACTCAGCCTTTGACTTCTGTAACTAACTTTCCCCAGGTGCTTCTCATAGCTACTAACAACCAGTGCAAACTCCATTTACTGGTTTCCACGCTGCTTTTACTTGCACGTGTCCACTTTTATACCATTCATAAATGTAGTAAGCGTTCTTACATTTTGCTCTTTCACATTATATGGGGGGCATAAATCATAAATAAATAACAATACCCAGAGGTGCCTTTTCCTCACATTCAAAGGTTTTATTATTTGGTTTCACAAAAGAGAAGCTTCCTGGGGAAATAGTGGGCTGTTCTTTATTTGACCAAATTATTTCCAGTATTAATCATTAGTACTTTATTTCTGCTATTTAAAATTTCAAAAACGAAGACTCTACAAGTAGCAACAGAGAATGACACAAGTGAAGTAACATAAGCTCCATGTCTTCGTCTTCATAATCACTATGTAATCCCTGCTCACTTACAAATCTGACCAGTGAAACCAATGCAAGAGGTGGCACTGTGGGCACTACAGACTCAAAATTATTCTGAAGCAAGCTTAAACGGAAGTGAATCCTATACTGCATCCATGAGTACTGTCAAAGGATGAGTAATATTACCAATAAGCATTATGTGTGCTAACTTGGAAGCATGTGTGTATATGTTGTGTGTGCATGTGTGTGTGTATATATATGTATGTATCTACATACATATATATAAAAGTTCAATTCTAACTTCACCAACTATTTAGGACTTAGACAAACGAGGTTTTTGGGTGTTTTTTGAGGAATACTTTGTCAATGACATTATTTAGAACTGTGGGTACATTGTGATAATAAAAGGAAAACTTTTTTTTTGATGGTTTTGCCATTGCTTGTAAATTCCCTATAGTCAAGCAACCTCCTTTTTATCTGCACCTGAGTCAGATTATTGCCACCACTTTACCTTTGGGATGCTGATGTGTTTTAGAACTCCCCAAATAATTTAAAAATACTTTTAATTTAGAATGGGTGATCTGTAGTTATACTGACATGAACAATCAAATATAAAGTTTTTAAAGCACAGCTATTCTTAATAGTTAACCTCAGAAACTATACTAACAAGTTTTAAAGTTGTCAGTGAAAATTTTTACATAAAACTAAAGCACAATACACATTCAGAGACATGCATGAATTAGAAGTTTCCAGCTTGATTTTCAAGTGAAAAATCTAAGTCCCCATAAACATATTCCCTTCCAGTCAATCACCCTTTATCTGAAGGCTGACCATGATCCTAAACCATTATACCTTAAGTCTGTCTGTTTTTTTTTTTTTTTAACTTTGAGTAACTGTTCAGGCCTGCATTTGTTTTCATTTGTCCAGCATTTTAATGTGAGATCTATCCATGTGGTTTGGTTGTGTGCAGTTCACTGATCTTCATTACTATGGAGTATTTCACTGTGTGTAAAATGCATGATCTAGCCACTCTATTACTGATGGGCATCTGTGATGTTTCCAAATTGAACCTGTTAGGAAGAGTGCTACTATGAATGTTCTTGGATTTGATTTTGATAAGCACATGGATATGTGTCTTTGGGGCGTCTCAAGGTGGCAATTGCTGGGTCATAAGGTCTATGTGCATCTTAGCCTCCATTTAGATAGGAGGCACAAATAATTTTTTAACTACCTTATTTTTGAAAACACTTTACATTTAACTATTAGTATAAATTTAATAGGTTTACATTTAACTATTAGTATAAATTTAATAGGTTTGATTTTAAAAGTCTTCCCAACTAACAACCAATTTGCAACCAACGTCACAACTGCTTTGCAATTACCCTTGAACATGGAAAATAATAATGCAGCCATCCAACCACATCACAGCTGTTCTTTGGGAATTTTCTAGGAAGAGGTATTGATGTGAGAGATAATTATGTCAGCTGATGGCATCAGAACTATTCCAGCAAGAAATGTGGCCACTGAACTCACATAGAGCAAGGTAATACCATTCTAGCATTCTAGAAAGAATGCTAGTATTAAATCAACAACAAAGGAGGTGAACCGTAAAGAGTCTGGGATTCGTACAGAGCTCATTACCCACCCTACTGACACATCTCCCCCTAAGCAAAAACTCAGGGTGTAAAAGCAAACCTATTTCATGGAGTTCTAAAGGCAAGAAAAAAAAAAATGCACTGCTCTTAGAGATTCAAACTAGTTTGGTCTAATCAGCTTTTCTATCACCACAGCTTGCTTTTTTTCTAAAAGCAAATAAATACAAAAGTACAAGAAACAGATTAAGTCTACCAAACTTAACCAAGAGATGTCAAATTCAAACCATGGCCATACTCTCAGTTAGCCAAAATAATAAGATGGTCACAGAGTAGGTTCTGACATGTTAAAAAACACTTGTCAATGTGGCTAGGGAAAGAGGTCCAGGGAAATGGGTCCTTCTGAGAAATCTGCTCCCTGTGCCCTTAAGCATGAACCCAGTTCAGAGATCAACCTTTCTCTAACTCCCCATACAGAAATCCTATCCATAATACCTGGCCTGTGCTGTCCTATATCTCAGTATTTTCAGACTCAGGGAAATTGTTACTCTAATAACGTTGGAGGAGACAGTTAACTATTGGATAGTTCTTTTTCCTGTCAAATGTGCTTTCTATAGCTGCTGTAACAAACTGCTACAAATTTAGTAGCTTAAAATGTTATTTAAAATGCACTTGGGTAGATCAGAAAACCAACTTGAGTCTCACCAGTCTAAAGCCGAGGTATTCATTGATCAGCAGGGCTGTTTCCTGCTAGAGGTTCTGGGAAAGAATCTGTCTACTTGCCTTTTCCAGTCTCAAGTGATCACCATATTCCTTGTCCACAACTCCTTGCTTCCATTTTCAAAGTCAGCTGAGTCCTGTTCCTGTCAGCTGTTGTCTCTCTGGATGTCTTTTTGCCTCACTCCTCCACTTTTAAAGAATCCTGAGACTACACT